GGAAGGAAGCGCTCAGCGCTCAGCACTCCCTCCTGTCACTCCCTCACTGTAGCGTGGCCGAGCCCTCTATGGTCCGTGGGTACAGGGAGGATCTGTCTCCTGTACCTGGCCGGACTGACAAGAAGTGCACACTGAGTGTGCACTTCCTTTTAGTCCGGCCGGGTACAGGAAACAAAAGCTACCTGTACCCGCGGACCATACAGAGCTCGGCCACGCTACAACAGTGGTGGGGGGGGATAAAGAAATTGGAAGGGGGTGGGAGAAGGAAATTGGGAGGGGGGGAGAAAGAAATTGGGAGGGGGAGATAAAGAAAGAAATTGGGAGGGGGATAAAGAAAGAAATTGGGAGGGGGATAAAGAAAGAAATTGGGAGGGGTGAAATTAGAAGAAATTGGAGGGAGATAAAGAAATTGGGAGGGGGAGATAAAGAAATTGGGAGTTGGGATAAAGAAAGAAATTGGGAGAGGGGATAAAGAAAGATTGGGGGGATAAAGAAAGAAATTGGGAGGGGGGATAAAGAAAGAAATTGGGAGGGGGAAAGAAAGAAATTGGGAGGGGGAGAAGGAAATTGGAGAGGGGGGAGGGAAGGAAATTGGAGGGGAGGAGAGATTGACATTCATCACACACAATGCACCACTTGCACACAGAAAAACACACAATGCATTACACACACAGACACACATACACAAGCAATGCAACCGTTACACACAAGGCATCCCTTACACACACAGAAACACACAATGCATTCATTACACACACTCAATGCATCCCTTACAGACACACACACTGCATCCTGTACATACACAGAAACACACCTTGCAGCCCTTACACATACAAACACAGATTCACACAATGCATTCCTTACACACATATCAGGACATCCCCTACACACTCCACCCCTGTGAACAAACTCATTGGTGGAACATGAAGGTGGACCCTGGGACCCAGACCTTGAGCTGTGTAAAGGACCCCCAAAAAAATGGAGCTGCTTCCCGTTCTCCCAGAACATTGATTTTTGTGACCACAGTTACAAACCGCCTCCAGAGAGCCTGTTCTACACCAGACCAGTGGAGCCAGACTGCAGCTAGAGCCCATCATCATCCCCATCTGGTTGTAAGTAGGCAATCTAGTATATTATTCGTAGCACTAATGTCTAATTTATCTCACATTAAAGAAACACTATAGTCCCCAGAACCACTGCAGCTTAATGTAGTGGTTCTGGTGTCTATAGCCTGTCCCTGCAGGCCTTTTAATGTAAACACGGCGGCACTGCAGCACTGGCGTTAGTTAACATGGCAAATCATATGGGTGGGGCATTGTGATGTCACATGGCGGGGCGACAAACTTTCTGTGTGTGTGTGTTTGTGACTGTGAGTGACTATGTATGTGACTGTCTGTCTGTAACTGTGTGCGTGACTGTCTGGTTATGAGTGTGTGTGAATGTCTGCCTGTGACCGTTTGATGTTGCCTGTAACCATGTGTGAATATCTGTCTGTGACTTTGTTCATGTGACTGTCTGCTGCTGTTGTGTGTGTGTCAATGTGTATGTGACTGTCTGCCTGTAACTGTGTGCATGACTGTCTGTGACTGTATGTGTGACTGTGTACCTGTAACTGTGTGTGTGTCTGCCTGTATGTGTGTGTGTAACTCTCTGCCTGTAACTGTGTGTGTGAGTGACTGTATATGTGACTGTCTGTCTGTAACTGTGTGCGTGACTGTCTGGCTATGACTGTGTGTGTAACTGTCTGCCTATAACTGTGAATGTGACTGCATGTGACTATGTATGTGTGACTGTCAGCCTGTGACTGTTTGATGTTGCCTGTAACCGTGTGTGACTGTGACTGTGTGCATGTGACTGTCTGCTGCTGTCATGTGTGTGTCAATGTGTATATGACTGTCTGTGACTGCATGTGTGTCTGTGTGCATGTGACAGTCTGCCAGTAACTGAGTGTGTGACAGTCTGCCAGTAACTGAGTGTGTGACAGTCTGCCTGTAACTGTGTGTGTGACAGTCTGCCTGTAACTGTGTGTGTGGGGCTGCAGGGATTTTGTAGAAGGGTTTTGTATTGGGACAGGAGTCTTTAGAAAGGGGGGATAAGCAGGGGATTTGTGGAAGGGGGTTGCGGGGGGTTTTGTAGAAGGGGCAGGACAGAGGTTTTGTAGGAGGGGCGGGGCAGGACAGCGGTTTTGCAAAGTTTACAAATTGTAAAAAAAAGGGGGGAACGACAAGGGGGTGCCAAGCACAGGCTCCGCCCCAGGTACCAAATGCTCTAGGTACACCCCTGCAAAGAGCTGCTGTTTTTCAATCAGTAATTTATTTATTTTGGGGGGGGGGACAAGGGGGTGCCAAGCACAGGCTCCGCCCCGGGTGCCAAATGCTCTAGGTACACCCCTGCAAAGAGCTGCTGTTTTTCAATCAGTAATTTATTTATTTGGGGGGGGGGGGAACAAGGGGGTGCCAAGCACAGGATCCACTCCAGGTGCCGAATGCTCTAGGTACGCCCCTGCAAAGAGCTGCTGTTTTTCAATCAGTAATTTATTTATTTTGGGGGGGAGGGGGGGACAAGGGGGTTCCAAGCACAGGATCCGCCCCAGGTGCCAAATGCTCTAGGTAAGCCCCTGCAAAGAGCTGATGTTTTTCAATTAGTAATTTAGCGTCTTGTCAGCCCCCAACAGGGCCTGATGGTCCACAGCTAATGTTCACAAGAAAACATGAAAATGACATTACCTACATTACATGACAAAGTATTTAGAAAAGACAACCTTTATTTTTACTAAAGCACCAGAACACATTATCATTAAAATCCAGCACAATTTAATACAAATTAGGATCAAATACCAATTCATATCAACAGAACAATTCACAGGAACAGGTTAACAAATTTAAACCTATTTAGTTTAGAAAAACGTCGCCTGAGAGGGGATATGATAACATTATACAAATATATTCGGGGCCAATACAAACCATTGTGTGGAAATCTATTCACAAACCGGACTTTACATAGGACACGAGGCCATGCGTTTAGACTGGAAGAAAGAAGATTTCGCCTAAGGCAAAGGAAAGGTTTTTTACTGTAAGAACAATCAGGATGTGGAATTCTCTGCCTGAGGAAGTGGTTTTATCAGAGTCCATACAGATGTTCAAACGGCTACTAGATGCATACTTGCAAAAACAGAATATTCAAGGATATAATCTTTCAATGTAGGGTAATAACTGCTTGATCCAAGGATAAATCTGACTGCCATTCTGGGGTCAAGAGGGATTTTTGTTTCCTAGTTTGTTGCAAAATTTGAAGGGCTTCAAATTGTTGTGTTTTTTTTTTGTCGTCTTTTGGATCAACGGCAAAAAAAACAAATGTGAGGAAGGCTGAATTTGATGGACGCAAAATCTCAATTTAGCTATGTAACATTTCAATTCTGACATCTGTCAGTAATAATAGATTGTAAACTCTACTTGAATAATGAATGTGCTTGTCTGTTCATCATACATTCAATGGTACATGGTACAAACCTCTAATGAATATACAGCTGTGTGTGGCTAACAACTTCTACTTTTAAAGCCAGGTTAGTGGCTTAGAACTTGGAGTTTTAGGCCCAGGTTTTACTGTGCATCCTGAAATATTACAGTAAATGGCATCAGACTTAATAACGAAAGTTTACAATTTCTATTTTAAGCTGTGGATGTAGTGTTACATGGATATACAAAACCCAGACAAAAAAACAACTGCTTTTATTAGTAGAAAGCTGATACCATAAACTCCAGACAGCCCTGCTCTGCTCAATAAGCCCTGCAGGGATTCATGGGACAACGTCACAATTTTGATAGGTGTCAAAGAAAAGTCACTGAAGTATTCTGATTGGCTAATCATTGCTAATTACAGGAAATAACGTCAAATATACCTATATTTAAAGGTACCCGCTTAATGAAGTTGTTCTGGTTAGTAGTCAGTCCCTGAAGGCATTTTAATTTAAACATGCGGCAGCAATGTAAACGCTGCCTTTTCTCCAAAAAGGGGATGTTTACATTGCTGCCTAGGGACACCACAAGTGGCAGTCACTGAACATTCCTCATAGAGATGTATTGAATCAATGTTGTTGAATCAATGGCTAGGGTGGCGTTTGGCTCCACCCCCAAGCTGCCTCTTTGGTTGATATAATTAGAATTGACAATCACAGCCAATCCAATGCTTTTACATAGGATTGTCAATTCTGGTGATCTCAGCCAAGGAGGCAGTTCAGGGGCAGCGCCAGCAGACGCGTGCTGCGGCGTAATAAAGGTAAGTCTTTATCCTATTTAAGGGGCCTAGATAGTGTTTGTATTCCTGACCCTATACTTTTCCTTTAAAGTATTAATGCAGCTTCATGAAGTGGTTTGAAAGCTTACATCATGTCCCTTTAGTCTCACTGCTCAATGAGTTTATATCTGCAGCTCTAGCCAAACCTTGCCAGTTGTCCATCACACATCTACCCTAAAGACATATAAGGTTTGTCTCACTCTTATGTTCATTCTATGCATTCATTGTAACATACCAGTATATATATTTTTTATAATTTATTTTTATTTCTATTTTTTAGATTTAACTAAATGTTGTAATGTTTCCAGAGCTGAATGTAATTGAAGTAAACATCTGAACTTATACCACACAGTGCGAAGTTCTGATATTGCCACCTCTTTACTACTGATGTGCCACTTTCAAGAAAACCCATCTATTCGTGGGATGTTGAGCTGTTCCAATTCCATAACCCTTTCTTTTGTATGTAAATACCTTTCTCTCAAGCAAAACCTGGGGTACAGGCATAAAACCAGGCTGCAGTAAAAAAAGGTTCCACAACACATCAGGTTCTCTGTGGGCTGTGCCTTTCCTGTGCTCTTTCTATGCCTGTCTATAAAGTACCAATAAAGTTTTATTTACTGCTTATGAGGATACAGGTGTGACATGTAGAGCATTAAGCACATATGGTCTCTCTCTTATGAGTTCGCTATATGACCAATTACACCCATCTAACTTGTATGAATCATCATGTGTCCAATATATGAAAAGTGGTCTGTAAAACCTCGACCACATTCAGAACACGAGAAGGTGTTTTTTCTGTTTTTCCTTCTGTGAATCATTTTATGTGAAGCAAGGTTTGATGCCCGCGTAAAACTTTTCCCACACTCTACACATTTGAATGGTCTTTCTCCTGTGTGAATCCTTTTATGAGGAGCAAGCTTTGAACGCTCTGTAAACCCTTTCCCACACTCATTGCACTTAAATGGTTTTTCTCCTGTGTGAATCCTTTTGTGTGAAGCAAGATTTTCAGCACGGGTAAAACATTTCCCACATTCATTGCACTTAAATGGTTTTTCTCCTGTGTGTGTCATTTTATGAGTAGCAAGATGTGCAGCTCGTTTAAAGCATTTTCCACAATCAGTGCATTGAAATGGTTTTTCCCCTGTGTGAATCATTTTATGTGAAGTGAGATGTTGAGCCTGAGTGAAACTTTTCCCACATTCATTACATTTAAAGGGTTTTTCTCCTGTGTGAATCCTTTTGTGCGAGATAAGATTTGCAGCTCGTGTAAAACATTTACCACATTCATTGCATTTAAATGTTTTTTCCCCTGTGTTCATTATTTGGTGAATAACCAAATTCGACTCCTGAGTAAAATTCTGCCCAAATTCAGAAAATGATAATGGTTTCTCACCTATGCAATTTGCTCCATGTATAAAAGAGTCAGACTTTGAAAAGAAAATTTTTCCCATTTCAGAAGATGCCATCTTGTTTTTTCTGCGAACAGACTGTTTGACAATCTCTAAATGACTATTAAAACTGGGTGAATACTCAGGCCAGTTAATTATTCCTTCACTGCTATATGCGCTATTGGGAGATTTAGCTGTCTTATAATTAATAAATGTATTAGCTTTGCTAGATTCAATCGTGGATTTGTAAGAAGCCAATTTCAGTGAATTTATGCAGCCTCCAATATAAGGAAATGTATCCTCTGTATGTGGATATTCTGTAAGAGTATAATTATCAGCATCTAGTGTTGCTCCTCCACACTCAGCTGACACCTCCATGATATGAGTAGATGGATATTCTGTCAGTGTATAAATGTCTGTGAGATTGCCTTCTTCACTTGAGGCTAGTTCCTCCTTAATATGAGTAGATGGATATTCTGTCTGTGGATGGTCTGTGGGTTTAGGAATGTCTATGAGATTTCCTTTTTCATTTGAGGCTGACTCCTCCTTGATAAGAATTGATGGTGTTTCTGATGCTATGTACATGTCCATACAGATTCCTTCTTCACACAAAGCTAATTCCTTCTTAATATGAGGAGATTGATATTTGGTCTGTGGATGTTCTGTGGGTATATATATTTCATGACATGATGGAGATACTCTTGACACACATGTCACAGATTTAATTTGTGATTTCATTGGCTTACTCGTTATCAAAGATATTCGCCCATTATTGTTTTCATGTGCAGATACATCTCTGGTTCTAAAACGGAGCAAAGAAACAGTGGATCCATCAGGTACAGATTTATCTCCTGGAAGAAAATGCACATGAAAAGTTTATAAATTACTTTAAGAAATAAACCTCAAAAATCTTGGTTTATGTAATATTTTTCACTTGTATTCCAAGGTATTATTCATTTTTTTTTCAAGTATGAAACCCCCCCCTGCCCCAAAAAATAACTCTTACCTAGTGCGTGGAGCAGTTGGTAGTTCTCCATCATCACGTCGTTGTAGAGATCCTTGTGTGCTTCTATATACTCCCACTCCTCCATAGAGAAATAGACAGTGACATCCTCACACCTTACAGGAACCTGATAAATACACAATGATACTATCACCATCCAGACACATCCCTTGGATTTACTGTATAATGTCCCATTCCCAACAACCTCACCTCTCCAGTCAGAAGTTCAATGATCATATTGGTCAATTCCAGGATCTTCTGCTCATTGCTTCTCTCGTGGATCAGGGAGCGAGGTAGAAGACCCATGCTGGACTTCTGGGTGTGTATGTATGATCCTGACACGTTGATGTTCCTACTGCGTGAGATATGGTCACTGGGCTGTTTCACAACCATATGATCCTAAATATTAAAAATGACAGACACGTTTTTTTACTTTATATGACACTTTGTATCTCTACTCACTGGCTTTCACCAGAACCAATGCTTTGAAAAATATTCACTACCTCTTTGAATACTTGTTCCAGAGAGTGAGCAGGGAATTCTCCTGGCTGACAGCCAGGACTGTGGAACTAAGGGCTTATATAAAATGAGACAGAGGTGATCCCCATTTAATCTTAAAAACACTTCAGCAAACTCAACTTTGTGTGGCAAAGTTGAAGCTGAGCGAGATACACAAATTCCTTTTTATTGGAGCAAGAATCGGGTGGCCATGTAGTAAACAGAACAAAACACAGAGGGAGAAACCACCTCACCAGAATTTTCCAAAATTCCATTTTTATTTCACATGCAAAATCCTTATTGGTGAGTGGTAAAGAATTTAGCCAGGGGGAAATAAAATAACTGGGCACAAAAGATAGCAGAGTGGTTTTAGTCAAGCAAAATTAAGAAATATTATCTAAGTCTAATTGTAGAATATGTTCCAAAAAGAGGAATAAAAATCAAATTAATTGTCCACCGGAAGCTGTAGTCACCAAGCATTCAATAAGTTACATTTTATGATAAAGCAATCCAAATATTTATCTCTGCCTCCTTCAAATGCCTTCTTTTACACTATGGTGACAGCTGGGTTTTGGAGCCGAATGGAAAGCCCCTCCTTAATTCAGGAGACCATACCCGTGGTTGGGGAAAACACAACCAAAGTATTTGTAACGGACCGTTTTTCCCACAAGAGGTTAAAAACCGTTTAGGCGATATTCCCCTTTTTCAGCTGCACAGACAGCTACTGCAAGCACCAATCTCCCGAACTGCAAACCCCAAAATTCACCAACTCCCAAACTGCAACCAAGGGAATACTCGAAACTCCCGAACTCCATACCAAGTAGCACTCCAAACTCCCGAACTGGAGACACACGAATAGCTGCTAGCAGACGAACAGGAAAAGCCCCCAAGCGGCTTACACTCCTGGCAATCAGTCTCTAACAGCATACAGTAAATCCTCCCCCCAACAATGAGACGACACTTCACTTTGAGGGTTAAGCAGGAACTGCACTGTAATGGCCACACACTGGCTTTTATGCAAGTCCCCATGCAAGGGGACATCCCACAGGGTGGGACACAGTACAACCAATCGTTTACATGAGAACCGTAAAACACACCCACATTTACATCGCAATCCCTCCTCTCTGTCCTAGAGATAATTGTGAAGTAATCCAATTATCTCCCAGGACAGAGGCAAGACTCCATTAACCACATGGCAGTAACAATACAATAAAAGACATAAAATTACATACAGTTACATTTATTCCATAAAACATAGACATTCTACATATCCCCAGATAGCTTAGATCTGAGTGCACATTACTACCGAATGGCGCTCAGATCACATACATACAGTTCAATCGCCATGGAGCCAAAGTCTTTCATACAGTCTTTCAGTATACGGCTGGGCTCCATGGCATAGCTATCTGGGGTAGCATGGCTTTAACAGTCCGCAGAAAGGCACGAATAAACCTTTCTGCCGGTAAAATAAAAGTTTAAAATGCAGGACCATAGTCTAAAGGAAGCAGGCGAGCAACCAGGCTTCTCCAGTGTACAGTGGCGAGGTTGGTTTCACCACAGTATTCAAACACATGGGTCAGGTGTATTGGTTGCCTATGCATTCACTATCTACAATCACTCTATTTGAGTGTATGTGAGGCTAAAGGTCTGTCAGCAATATATAACAATCCGTATTGTCTGTTCTATAGTTATTTGATATTTATATGATTTATTAAGAATAGCTACTGTGACAGATCCATCTGTAAGACTAATATTGCTGGTTCGTCTAGTTTGCCTCCCCTTCATGGAATTGCCTGTCCGTATACCTATATTCGTCTGTTTGACTTTGTACCGAATGAACTTACCGAACGGACGGCCACCCAGAAGAGAAGTGTGCTGCTGGTTAACCTCTTGATCCCAATTAGAACATTGTGGTTAACTGCAGACACTTCGTAATTACAACCGAATGCAGGGTGGTCGTCGTTCGTATGTCGACCACGAGGCGGCGGCCATTTTAAACCATGCGAAAGGCCAGCGGTGTTCGGCACAGATTCGATGGAACTAAAAAAGGACACTTTTTCTGCCGAACAACGCTGAAACCCACAGACCGCCCTTCTCAGTCGACAAGGCATGCAAACACTGGCCGTTCGAGAGTTTGGATTATACGAATGGACTTAACCCAGATAGCCTCCCCATTGAACTGTGCGTATGGGATTCGCTAAGAATATGCACTCAGATCCAGGCTATCTGGGGATGTGTCACACGAATATAATATGTTCGGTAGTTGTGTAATTATTTATTTTTATGTGTTTTTCAGGCTTTATTTAAAATGGCGATTTGCCTCTGTCCTGGGAGATAGTTGAATTACTTCTCAATTATCTCCAGGGCAGAGGGGAGGAAACCATGATGCATTCTGGGAATATTGTATGCATGTATGTCTGGAAGTGCCATGTGTCTGTCTGCCATTACAGTCTCCCATTTGGTCCCTATAACGCCCAGCCTCCCCTCTGGCAAGGCAGGCGTGATGTCAGTGAAGAAAGATTGCGTTAGGCTGTGAGGTGATCTCAGCTAGGCCCAAAATCTTCTTGTGGCATATACAAGTACATGTATCTGTTAGTTAGTTACACGTAGCTAAGATACTGTCATCAGATGTACTGAGCATGTGCAAGAACCGAATCCACATTCCATTCTCTCCTAAGTTCCATATTGCCTGTCCATATAAGGTAATCCTGTGTATCCTGTTTGCTGATTGGTGTAAGGGTACAGATGGGGGCTGTATATTATATATAAAAAGCCTGTACTCCATGTGCTCAGGGCTCAGACTTTGGATAAAAGTAAGTCGGTGACCCGGTTGGTTAAAATAAACACCTTTGCATCCTGAATTGACCTGCGTCCGACTCTCTGTGTGTGGCTTCTTCAGTATTCTCCCACAACATTTCTGTTGCCACTGGATGGGAAGTCATCGCAGAGACCTCCACGGTTATCTGTTTCTGGGGTGGACAGGGCTACCTGCCCTCTGCCCGGAGGCCCTCGCTTCCATGTTTATCAGTTCTTGGGGTGGGCAGAGGTTACCTGCCCTCTGCCCAGAGGCCCTCGCCTCTACGTTTATCAGTTCCTGGGAGGGCAGAGGCTGGCTGCACTCTGCTCGGATGCCGATGCATCCTTAACGGAAGGGGTAGCAGCGGCCTGTCCACCGCCTGCTACCCGGTGACTTGACCCTAGCAGGTCTCTGGGGTCAGCCTCAGGAAGAGTTGGAGGAGCTGGGGGCTAGTGGCGACCGAAGTCCCAGCCACACCACCCTCCGTTCCAGTGGTTATCCCTCCCAATAACTCACACTGCCGCTGGGTAACAAGACCGGTTGTCTCTATTATCAGGAATGCACACTGCCGCTGGGGAACGATACCGGTTGTCTCCGTTCTCTGGACTTCCCACTGCTGCTGGGGAACGAGACCGGTTATCTCCTTTCCCATGCACTCATACTGCCGCTGGGGAGGAAGGATGGTGCTCCACACTCCTGGGGTTGCAAGGTGCATTAAGTCTCTAGTCCCTGGAACCTGCAGCTGTGCCGTTTCGAATAGTTGCCTGTAGTCCTGCTCAAGTTCCCACTCCAGGTCAGCCAGAAAAGACAGATCCGGCTTTCACAGAGGGGATATAAAGTTATAAAGGGAAGGGGACAAGGAGGTTACAGAAGGAATGACAGTCGGAATAGAGGAGAAGTTCAGGACGGTAGATATTACCTTCAAACTCAGAGACCAAGAGATAGGGACTTTGTGGGCCTGGCTGACGCAATCATGGAAGACTACTGATACAGACCGGGCTCCATCCCCCTTGGCCAAGCGGAGCCTATGGCGAACTAACAATAGGGGGAAAGTAAAGTTCTTTCATGATTGATACAGGTGCTGAACATTCTGTGGTGACCAAATTAGTAGCCCCTCCTTCCGGAAAGACTGTCACAGTAATAGGGGCTACAGGGAAAGAAGCTGTCTGTCATGATCTCCATCGTGACATGTGTAATGCCAGCCAAATTGGCAGGATTTGAACCCTGGACTCTGGCTTCTTGAATCTTTTGCCACTGAGCTATCCAGCCATTCAAAGTATAGGTGTCCTAGCCTTGTTTCCAGCACTGGGAGCTGAACTTACCCGTGGCTGCTCTAGCACACCTGTAACCCATATTGATTGGCTGGATATAAAAGCCTGCCTCACCCTGGGAAGGGTGTCAGTTCATTGACTCTGGTTCCCTTGTTTGTTTGGTTCCTGTCACTCCGTATCAGCGTTCCAGTATTTCCTGTCTGATTCCGGCTTCTGACCTTGGCTTTCCTCCTGGACTACTCTGATCTCTGGCTTCCCCTGACTTTGGCTTTCCTTGACTACGCTTCTGCTAATCCCTGCTGTACTGCTATTTGGAGCACTATTCCTGGAAAGCCCCCGTGCACAGACTCACAGGTCAGGTGGCGTCTTACCTAGTAACTCTGGTCTGTGTCTACTTTGCAAGGGTGAGCGTATAACTCTGCGAGACGGAATCCCCATCAGGTAAGACTCCTGACACTGTCAGACCACTATTACATCATCACGTGACCGGACGAAACTCCGAGTTCCAGGAAGTAAAGCCTGCAGTACCGAAAGTTACCAGGGACTGGTAGATATTTACAATACAGTACTGGCAAAAGGTTATTAGGCTGCTATATGGAAACGGAGAGTGTGGATTTTATGTATTCTCAATAAAGCTGTTTTACTTTTGAAAGCTGGTGTCCTGCCTACTTGCACCAACACTGAAGTCCTGGTCTTTGGATTTAAAGCTGGATCAGTTAGAGCAGGCTTTTACTGCTCTTTCTTTGTGAGTGATACTCCTATTTTTATTGCTGGTTTTTATATTTATGTAAAAACAATATTATACTATGTTTCTCCATTTTATATCT